CGTTGGCTGCGATGGCGGCGTTGTGTCGATGTAATTAAGCCTTTTTTTTTTTACTCTTCAGGAAGTCTTTTAGCTTCGGCTCCACATTTCATCACGTTGAGTTCGGAGGAAAAAATAACGCTGAGAGTCGTTTCCGCCCGATCAGAGACGTCAGTATATCAGACTGATCAACCTTAATGTGGATCCAGTTCAAACTGCGGTCCAGGGACCAACAGGGGCAGTGGGTTCTGGGGGGTCCCAGGAAAAGGGATAATTTAACTTTTATTTTTAGAAAGTTAACAGACTAAACTAAAGCTAACAGACTGAGGCTAAAGCTAACAGATAAAAAGTCAGTGTATGACAGTTTATTGATTATAGATCATTGATTGATCAGCTCTATATAGAACATAGTTCCAGAGTTTATATACTGTTTAATGATTATAGATTATAAACATATAAACATATAAACACACACAGCCGCCATAAAGTCGTGTAATTAGCCGTCCTGCGTGATTAGCAGGTAAAACAAACGATGTGTTTTGTTGGCAGCAGATAAATCTGGTCTCAACTCGCCGTAATGACCCGTGTAATTTTTAAGCAGCGCCTACATCGCGGCTCTTTTAACACGTATCATTAGTGAGGTTGTATATTAGATATACATTCTGTGGCTTAATTTGGTCTCCCAGGAGCACTTGTAATGATGCAGCTGCCGGGTCCAGGACACCTTTAATTTATTTATTTTAAATGTTGAGAGTAATTGAGTTCTTGAGAGATGTGAGGCGAGCCTGCTGCTGCTGCTGGTGGGGCTCCTTCTGAAAAATGCATTAATTCAACACTGCAATCTGTTGTGAGGATTAATACGAGAGGAAGCTTCTAACGGGGAGAGGAGGGCGGGAAAAAGGAGAGTTTCTCCTCTAAACTCGGCCTCCGAAGCTCCGGAGGAGTTATTTATCTCCCTCTGAAGGGTTATTTATTACAGACAATCAAAAACGGCTCCTGTGCCACGGCGGCGGTGGTGGCGGTGGCGGCGGCGGCGCGGCAGCTGCAGGTGATGATAGAAATCATTTGTTCCACAGATCTCATAACGGCAGACGTCAAATAACAAAACGGTCAATAATGAAGACGACGAGGTGGCAGGTGGCGGCGAGCGTGGGCCGTCCTCTCTGATGATGATGATGATTGTTTACAGCGTGATGATGATGATGATGATGAAGATGTCAGGGGGACATTGTGGCGTCTCACTCGTAAAACCTTTAATGGAGCTCGCTCAGCGTCACTTCATTCCTGTCAGCTGTTAACCTCAAGTGTGTGTGTGTGTGTGTGTGTGTGTTACTGTGTGTGTGTTGTTCTGTGTGTGTGTGTACTGTGTGTGTTCATGTGTTAATTGGTGTGGTGTGTTGTGTGTGTGTTACTGTGTTACCTGCGAGTAGGATGTGGGTGTGTGTTGTCTTTACTTTTTCGTTGGTAGGTCGAATGCCTTGGGTTCTGTGTGTTGGTTAACTTGTTTTGATGGGGTTGCCTCTGACTGTTATGGCTTTCGAGTGCGTTGACGGTGGTGCTGTTGCTGTGTGTGTAGGTGGTTTACTTTGTTCGGGTGTGTTTGTGTGTGTGTGTGGTGTGTCTACTGTCGGTGTGCCGTACTTGCCATGGGTGGTTTTGGTGAGGATGGAGTGGTGTAGTATGTGGTGTGATATGTAGAGGAGATGGCTGTTTTACTGCGTGTGTTGTTTGTTATATAAAATCACGTTTATTGTGAAACGAGGATGCTGATGTGAAAAATATTATTCAACATGCTGGGAACTGTATCATCGAACTTGAGTGTCGAATTATGTGATCAGCAGGATTGATATTCTGCGGTTTATATTTTTTTTGTTATTCATTTTCGACTTCCTGCTTAAAAGTGCTACATTACACAGTTACGTATTATTTGTGGGTGGGGGGGGAGGGGAGACGCTCGTTGGGACATTGTTCTCCCTCGTCTATCTTTTTTCTCAAAAGGCTGTTTTTTGGTCCCTGCAGGTGTTTTAACTTTTCAGCTAATTCGCTAAAAAACGATGGTGGTTTCATTCTACTAGGGGTATCAGGGAGAACATCAGAGAGCGCAAGTAGTGGTCATAGCACTTATTCAGGCTCTGAAATCTGCCAGGCTAGTGTAAAGGGTGGATATTATAGTATGCGCGCTCGAGAGATCTATGATAGCCTTGTTCTTGCCTTACTTTTGGCTATGTTTTATTTATGATGTGCCCTGGGCTCATGGCAAGCTTCCTCAAATGTTGGCCTCTGCCTTTGATGCTTGTGGTTGATGGTTGGCCGTCCTCGATTGCTTTTTGTTTCACTTATCTAATCTTATTATTTGCATTTTGCACATATTGATATCTGTGTTTTGCATGCTAGTTGTCCTTTTCTAGTGAATTATATTATATATATTATTGGTGTCAGATGTTAGGTTTAATTCATTTTTTAGCTCTATATTTCTTTGTTTGTTTCTTATCCAGTTTTATTTTTTTTGTTATAGGTGCCTGTTATTTTTCTGGTTTTTCTTATTATTCTTTTTTTTTTATGTGTCCTATTTCAGTGCATATGTCGTGCGTGAGGTGTGTGTCAGAATGTTGTTTCTATATTTACAAGTTTAAATGCTTTTAGTTGCTGACTAATGCTTACTAACCAGTCAAACAAAAAGGGACACTAAACTCTAGTTAAGAACTACTGGTGAGTCTGGTGGCACCCGTCTGGTTCTGTTATGACCTCAGTCCGGTAGAGCTTGGCGAGCCATATACGGAGTTGCTGCAGCGCGCTTGGGTTCGAATCCGACTTGCGGCCTTTGTTGCGTTTTGTCGAATCGTTTTATTAGGTCACCCACACTTGTCTCTATCAATAAAGCCATCAAATAGTTGCTGCAGTAAAAGAAGTTTGCTTGATTTTGGTTTTTTAAAAGAAAGGAAACCACTAAAATATACGTTTTAACATTGATTTTTTTATTTAATTTTGTAGGCAATTAGTGTTTAAGTCAGCCTGACAGTTAAAAGTAAATTACCTTTAATCCTGTAATCTGATAATAATCTGATATTTCTGTGATTTTGTATTGAGTCAATAAACGGATCAATATGAAGCCTTGATTTCGTAATAAGGTCCTGAACTAGCAGAATCTGTGAGCTACGCTAACTGTATGTCTGCTCATCGCTTCAGCAGCAGCTCTGTCCTGTCTTGTTCTTGGTCTGTTCTGCTGCCTCCCACATCATGACTTGAAAATAGCTGCCAAAACTAAGTTATTTTCTGCAGTTTCATTAAATTTTATTTTTACACTTAGTGTGAAATTTCTGGTTAATTTCGTGTGCTCCTGTGACGCTTAATAGTTGTTGGTGTGTCTTTTTGCATGTTGTGATGTTTGTAAATATGGTATGGAATATCCTATAGATCAAATAAATATGTAGTTTAATAATATGTTTGCATTTTTGTTGGCGGAAATATGGGCGAACATGGCAGATGAATCTGTTTTTTATGCTTATCAGAGAGAGATCGGGTCATGCCGGTCTGGGTATCAGAGGTACCGCCATTTGTTCTACAAGTTGAAAACACTTATTATGGATCACATTACTAATTTGTTTTTTTGGGTTGTGTCTTGTTTGGTGCACAATTAGAGTCATATCTTGCAAGGTCTCTTGAGTTTGAAGGGCCATGATATGCTTGTCAGGTTTAAGACTGTCTGCTCGACGGTGCTCCCGGCTTGATAGTAACTTCGTCATATTAGTTCATAGACGTTACGATTTGCTTTGTGAAGTTGAATTTTTCCCAAAGAACGGCAGACTTGTGTTTTTATAACTAGT